TGGGGGGGGGTTTTGGAAATAAAGGAAAATGTTTTTTGTTCAATTAAAGTATTTTTTCATGGTGTCGTGTTTTTATATTTTTTTACTGTACTCTTTGGTGAATGAGTAGAGGTACCCCTTTCTCATTCACAAGAGGGGGCGGCATCTGGGTGCCCCCTTTACAAAAGGGAGTACCCAGATGCAGATGACCCCCACCATTATCAGGCCAGGGTTGTGGAGAAGAAGCCCTTGTCCTCATCAGCATGGGGACAAGATGCTTTTCCAGGGCTCCCCCCCCCGAAAAGCAGTCTCCCGATGCCGAGGGCATGTGGCCTGGTATGCTGCACTGCCAGGCCATTGCTCAGATTAAGGGTCTGGTTTGGAACTTTAGGGTGGACCCTAGGTTTTTTTTAGGCGTTGGGGCCCCCCTTAAAATGCCTACCAGAACTAAAGGGTCTGGTATAAATTTGGAACCCCATGCATGTTTTTTTTTTTAACTTGGGGGTGCCTTCTAACATTCCTACCAGACCTAAAGGGTCTGGGATGATTACACTGTTTTTTGTTTTTAATCTATCTTTTACAAACTTGCAGGGGGTTCTCCCTGCTCCGGCTGTCTGTGGCTTGGCTGTTTACTTCGGCTGCTGTACGGTTATTGTGAATGGCGCGTGGAGCCGAAGGATTAGCCAAACGTTCTGCTAAATCCTTTCGCTCTTTAGTGAATAACCTACATGAATGTATATGCTATATACAGGGGGGGGGCATGTAATAAGAGCAATGATATGCAGTAACCCATAGCAATAAACCAGTTACATGTTGTGAGAACAATGGAAGAGAGTTTGGAGTGGTGACTACTTTACAACACACACAGGGACCATGGGGAAGAAAAGTATCCACCCTCCAGCAGGAAGGACAGTGTCAGCACCAATTCAGAGATGATTTGAGGATCTGCAGCCGGATGATACACAAATAAGAATCGGGCCCGATACAGGGCATTTTGACAAGTACTTGTACTTGTCAAAATGCCCCGATGCATAGCGCCGAAGCTTGCGCTTTTTAAAAAAACTTTACTTCAGGCAGGCTGAGCGGAGGAGCGTCGCATCACTACTGTGGGCGGAGCTCCAGGTGGGGTCCTAATGTAGGTGGCCGGCGAGTGCATGGAGGATCCCACTCAGAGCGCCGCCCACAGGAGCAGCAGTGGCGCGATGCTCCTCTTTGCCGACGATGTCCTTCAGTGCCTGAGAGCAGCGCCGAGTCTGCGCTGGTCCGGCGGGAAGAGTTCCAGGTGGGGTTCTGATTTAGCTGGCAGGCACCTCTGAGCCAGCTAAATTAGGACCCCACCTGGAGCTCCTCCCTCCGGACCAGCGCTGACTCGTCGCTGCTCTCCAACACAGTGAGTGAGGGTGGGGGGATTTACTGTATATAGTATTGACATTTAATGCAGTACATTACAGGGGACCCCTTTGGCTTCAGTCTCTGTTCCCCGAGCAGGAGCTCACAATCTAAGGTCCCTGTACTCACAAGCATAATATAGACAAATTGTACTTAACCTACTATGAGAAGAACACCCAGATAAACCCAGGCAGTATACAAAGTCCTGGCTAAGTAATCACACAATAAAATGAAAATCTCCAGCCAAGTATGAGCCACTACTTGAAATCTTTGGTTTCCATTGTATAAGCAGTGTGTACCCTATATGTACTTCATATAGAGTACACACTCCTTTTACACTGGACACATTAGATTTACAATTATCTTCTGCTAGCATGAATGGATTAAATGATCTGTATGTAGCCCTGTACTATGGATCATTTAACCCATTCAAGTTAGCAGATGATAATTGTAAATGTATTGTTGCTGTACTATATACTACATATAGAATGCACTGCAACAGTAGGTGGTCTTATTTTCGCGGTAGGTCTTATATTACAGAAATCCCTGAAGATAGTGCTAGGTCTTACTTTCGGGGGAAACACAGTATGTAGTTGCACTATGGATCATTTAAAGTCACCTGTCCCTTTTGTAAAAAAAAGTATCAGTAATTGGTATCGGCAAGTACATGAGGGGAGGTACTTGTAACCCTAGTTAATAGTTCAGGTGTATCTTTAAGATTGATCTCCTGAGTTTAGCGTCACTTTAAGTTTGGAGGGGTAGACTGGCAAGCAAAGTTTAAGCCCTCGTTCACACCTGAACGTTTTGTAGCGCGTTCTACGCTCGACGAACGCTCTACAAAACGCTC